TATGTGTGCCCAGAGAATCAGCACCAATTTGGGTTGTCAGCTGGTCTGGTGTTACTTCAGGGGAAGACAAGGAGCTTGTTTAAGAATTTAAAAGTTGAGCACAGTACAAGTACTACTATCGTAAGCCACAGACAAATTGCCAAAGTTCGAGGCCTTTCTGAATTTACACAACATCAACCTGAATGGTCGGCTCACTATCTGACCTGTACCTGCTAAGGTCTCAGGGAGGCTACCTGTCTCAGTGGACTTTCAATGGAGACAAAACTAGCCTATGGGGCTTCCCTGGTGGCGCAGTGGTTGAGAGTCCGCCTGCCGATGCAGGGGACACGGGTTCGTGCCCCGGTCCGGGAAGATCCCACATGCCGCGGAGCGGCTGGGCCCGTGAGCCATGGCCACTGAGCCTGCGCGTCCGGAGCCTGTGCTCCGCAACGGGAGAGGCCACAACAGTGAGAGGTCCGCGTACGAAAAACAAACAAACAAACAAAAAAACCAAAAAACTAGCCTATGATGGGAAAAGATGCCCCCAAAATTTCTATCAGCAAGGAGGTGAGAGTATGTGTCTGATTTCTCTTTGAGTTTGCCCAACTCACACTCCTTTATACTGAGAATAACCTTTCAAAACAAAACCCGTACTTAAAGGAATGTGGAACTTTTTACAACAAAGCATAGTGGACTTAAAAGCATCTCCCTGAAATTATGGGCTGAAGATGCTGAAAATTTTATTAATCAGGGGGTGGTAAATGGAAATAATATGCCAGCACTGCTAATTCAAGCTGTGTGGAAAAAATTTCTTAAATTTGTTTTGCCATTTTTGTCTTATTGTAATAATATAAATACATGGGCTTTAAATCCTGGTTATTGTTCTGCCACTTTTCCCATTAGGTTTTACAGTCATCAGGGTTTTCTAGAATCTACCACACTCACATAAGGAGAGAACACTTATATTCATTCAGAGACTGTGCCTCTGGAGCTCTACTTAAAACTATGAGTATGGTCGATCAGTGCACTGACAAAGGTCTCCATCTTGCTAGACGGGTAAGGACAGGCAAGTACCCCTACCACTGCCTAGACATACTTTTTTTCCCTAACATTTAAATCCAATTGAGTTTACTGTGATTTCAATACCTAGATAACCAATAACAAATGTGAACCATTCCTGAAACTTCATAAATAAGATCAGTTGGACCATTCATTCAAAAAAGAAGCATTTACTGTGTAGGCCTATACTGGGCCCAGTGCAATTCTATAGCACCTTTTATTTCACAATCCCAGAGAGCTTTCAAAGTTGCCCTAACATAAAGTATCGGTGACTGAACTTCTCTCATTTTAAGCATGTACAACACTCTATTCAAAACACCGATTCAGGCATTATAAATTTAGCTGTTTCTGGAAATAAAAACTGAAAGGGCTGAGAATGACAGTCAATCATTAACTAAATTCCAACTTCACAATTCAATCCAAAAAATACCCAGTGCCAAGTGGTTTAAAAAAATCACAAGCCAAATATACAATGATTCAAACATTCCACTAGGCAAAGGAGCTAATATAGTTATAACTTCTCACTTATAAATCCTTATGGGTATTGCTTCTAGGTAATAAGTCAAATTTATCAAAAGTCCCACTCAATGATTACATTCAATCTGCACCAAGAGCAACTTCCAAAAAGAGATTAAATATCTAACATGCCAAAAATAAGTTATTTACCTGGGTTTTTGCTATCTTGGAGCTCCTTCTAGAAAACAGATCCCTAAATTTAGGTGCCAGAATAATGTATTTTTCCAAATCAAGTCTTTGAAACTACAGACCTGAGAAAAGCCATCAAAAGCGGGAGATAGGGCTTCCCTGGTGGCGCAGTGGTTGGGAGTCCGCCTGCCGATGCAGGGGACAAGGGTTCGTGCCCCGCTCCAGGAGGATCCCACGTGCCGCGGAGCAGCTGGGCCCGTGAGCCATGGCCGCTGAGCCTGCGCGTCCGGAGCCTGTGCTCCGCAACGGGAGAGGCCACAACAGTGAGAGGCCCGCGTACCGCAAAAAAAAACAAAAAAACGAACAAACAAAAAAAAACAAAAGCGGGAGATAAAATAAGTAGAGTGGTTAAGCACAGGGATGCAAGTATAAGCCAGAATGCCTGGGTTGGAATCCTTGTTTTACCATTTTCTAGGTACCTCAGTTACCCTGTCTGCAAAATGGGAATAAAAACACCTACTCCATATAGTTGCTGTAAGGATTAAACCCAGGTAGGTTAGTACTGTAAGGGTTTAGAGGCAAGCAGCACTATATGAAGTGTTTGCTTATGATGACTTATATGACGAGCTCATCCAAATCATCTACACAAATGCCTTTCTCTACTGAAAGCCTTCCTTAATTGGTCTAGTAGAATTTAACCCCTCCCTCCTTGGCTTCTCCACAAAATGCATTGTGTACTATAGTTATTGGGTATATTTCCCTCCCATGAGGTTGGAGACAGAGACCACAGTTCATCTGAGTGTACAGGACAGCAAATACTGTTCATTGCTGCCCTTCAGTTTCCTCTCTCTAAACGTTCTGAACAACAATATCCTGTCAATTAGCAGACCTTTACGTGGAGAAAGGAGCTTTACATAATCAGCACACTTAAGTACTGGGCATACCTTGCTAAATGTTCTCTTAAGACTTAAACAAACATTTGAGAGGTTGGAGTGGGGGGGAAGAAGGATTCACTTAATATTTTTATAACTAATGACCAAGGTTATGTTTTTAAATTAATTTTTAAAATTTTCTTATGCTTTAAAAGCTTATTCTCATTTTTTCATTCAAAAAGTCTATGGTGCTTTTAATATAAAAATACAGTAGCATAATTTCTGCATATGTCAAGTCTACTTAATCATAACTTGACCATCTGCTGATTTTAACATTACTTTGAGATGCCAATCTTTCTGGCTTTGATTTGTGCCCTCTTTTCTCTCACAAAAAAGTGCCACACACATACAAAAAAGCTTCCAACTTATCCCAGATCACTGGGAAAACACTTTCTAAAGTGTTATCCTACTTCGCTAACATAATGATGTTGCCCTTACTTTGAGAGGACAGAACTTTTCTGAAAACAAATGGCTGAATTGAGTCTCTTGCTTTGTTACCGCTTTCTACAAAGTACAATTCTTCCTTTGTTTTTATAGCGTCTTACCTATTGAAATTAATTTTTTTCTGGCATAAAAACTGCTGAGGACACCTTCTCAGTTGCACAAATATTCCTGGCCTCTACTCTTTGATTTATTTTAAAACAAACTCAAAAACAAAAGGCTAAAGAAGAATTGCACTCATTTAATGTGGGTTTTCTAAGTCTAATTTTTTCATTCCCCAGTGGCACGGCCTTTCAAAGGATTACACAAACTACACCCAATTTGTTTCTCATTCTAAACATAACCCAACCAAATGGGGAATGTTATCAGCCATCTTAACAAGGAGAACACCACAAAGCTAAAACCAAACCAAAGATCAAACCAAAAAAAAAAATTTTTATCCATTGTACCTCCTTTGAGATTAGGACTTTTTTACATAAAGGTACTTTGACGTACCTGTGCAATGAACAAATGTCATCATAATTTAACATCCTATTTTGGACTAATTTCTCTCCCCTCAAATAGTCACAAGAATGGCCAATTCACATACAATACCTCTCAGCTACTGGGTAGAGAGTATAATAAACTTAATTGTTTTATATATCCTGAGGCATACAAAGAAAGGCTACACAAACACAAAGAGGTTTCCAGTATCTTATATACATTTATGATTGAGACAAAGAACTTTCAAAAACCTGCCCTCAGTAAGCAAAACTGGGCTTAAACCACAATAAACCCTGCCTTTAAGTAGGGAGACCTGACAAGTTTAAGCCCCCAACCCACTCACACCCCCCAAAAGACTAAGTCTCACTCCCTTCTTATAGCTAGGAGGCATAATTAAAACACTTGTAAGTTGTTTCCTCAGACTTTAGTAGTAATAAAGCTAATACTCAGGCCACCTTCTCCGAGCAATCGGCTTCTATCAAAACTTATCACAAGTTGCATGAAATAGACAGGAGCGCTGGTTTTGCATTTTATCAAGTGAATAACAACAGCATCACACTTTTTGGAGAAGCCACTACTCCCAGCACCACCAGCTCTCCCAGCCCCCCTCCCCATTTTTTTTTTTTTATGTCTTTCCTCCAAATTTACAGTCTGAAAAGTGGTCCCACGAAACAAAAGTATCAGTAAACGGGAGTCCACTGGTTTTGAAAATAAAGTTTGTTCTTTTGCTATCAACCTGACAACTTTTTAAAGGTGAAACGTCTCCTCCTCAATCGGGCACAACCTTCCCTATTCCCATACCAAACAACCACTCATTTGCCCCCGATAGTAAATGTGAAAAAAGGGAGTGGGAGAAAATGATGTTGAAAAGAAGGGTCTAGGGTTCCAGTGGTAGGGACGGATTTTGAGACCGGTTTTGAACACTCCGTGTCTTCTGGGAGCTGGGCAGCTTTACTGTGTCTATCTGAGAAATGTTTAGCAATCTGACGCATCAGTTTTTAGGAATGGTACACAAACAGCCCCCACAATCTAAGAGCCATGCCCAGAATCCTTCCCCTCGGTGGCATCGGCTGAGGGCAAGGGAAGGGAGAGCGGGGGATACAGGACAGGATCCGCGACATTTGTTATTGTTTATGAAGCCCAGGCAGGGACCGGGAGCATGGTGCTCGGGGGCCGAGGAGTGGAAGGCGAAAGGAGCAGGGAAGGACAAAGATGCCTCCCGGGGCTCGAGGCCACCTCTCCGGGCACCCGGTGCCAGTACCACCCCGGGAAACAAGAGGGCCAAGGCCGTCGCCGGAGCTTCACCGGAGACATTTCCAGCCCCGAAATTAGCCCGGCTTTCCCTGGACAGCCAAAGACACCTAAGATCGTCTACCGCTCCCGCTCTCAGAGTTGGGGCCGGCGCGGCGAGCCGAGCGCCCCAGCCCCCTCCGCCGCGGAGCGCCGCATCCGCGCACTCACCTGCCTCCGGTCGCTCCAGCGGCCGGCTCAGCCTCCGCACGGGCCGCAACCGACCCGCCGCCAGTCCGCTCCCTTCTGCCCGCTCCGCCCTCGTCCCGCCCCCGAGAGGTGGGACCCGCCGCCGCGCCGGAATCTCGGAGCGGCCTCCCTGCACTCTCGCGAGGCCTCCCTGCTCCGCTTCTAGGTGGCTGGGCCGGTCTGGCTCGGTCCTGACGTCATACGCACCATAGGCGGAAGTAGCCTTCTGTCGTCAACGCAGCCAGCATCCCTACCGCCCCTCCCACCTGCACCTAGTGAATTCGTGACTGACACTGGAGGGGCTGTTTGAAGAGTCACCGTTTCCCTCCCTCATCAGCCTCACCTCACTTCCCTCTTCTCTGCTCAAAGCTAGTTCAGGCCACTCTTGAGAGTGGCCCAGTGTGTTGCCACATTAGTCACGTGTCCTAAATGTCGCCAGAGTTTTTCTTGATGCTTCACAATGCAATGTGAATGTTAGAGGAGGAAAGGGGTTTAGAGATCATTTCAATTATTTTTTTGGAACATAACTGTAGAGCAGAGTAGGAAAATGTGATCAACAAAAATGGATTGACTGACCTAGTTGCCTAGGTAGTAGCTGTGGAGTCTAGAAGCCACCCAGCTTCCTTGATCCTTTTCCTTTTCATCATGACTCAACTGTAGAGACTAGAGAGGGATTCACATTTGGACGAGCTACCAAAGTAACTCCGCGGTATTCATGAAAAACTTGCTTGGGTTATCTTGGAAAATCTAAAATAACTGACAATACTGGGCTGCTTATTTAGGATCAGAGAACTAAGAGGAAAATCACCTGCCTGTAGCATGACTCAGAAAGGATGGCTTTGGGAAAATGATGCGTTTGAGTTTTTATTGGGCAAGCCAAACAAGAGAATAGTTCCCAATTATTGTTGACAAATTATCTTCTATCTGAATAGTGGAGATTTTATTAAATACCATTTACTTGTAGTCTGTTAAGACAGTATACAAAGCTAGTACTGTGCTTGCAGAAAATATAATTCAGAGATGCCAATCATTATCTTTAAGTTTCACCAAGAGCAGGTGACATGTATGAAAGACTTAGGGAAGAATCTTAACATCACTTCTATTTTTTTTTTTCACTCTGTGCTTTTTCATGCATAGCTTGATAGCAGAAAAAGCACTATGTAGTCTGGTAATTAGTGTATTCTTGGGGAAATCAGTTCATTCTATATCATATGGTCATTTTGAGGCTCAAATGACAATTGCCATATGCGAGCATGAGGTTTAATTGTGATCAAACATGCTCGACAGAGGCCTGTACACCTCTCTCCCTCCACCATGCACATACTACTTCAAGTGGGTAGGATTAAGAACAGTTTATGGAGTATTATATAGCAAATTTATGTTTTCAAATGCGCCGTGCTATTTTCATGGAGCTAGAGTAATAGGGACTTGTCTAGGGTGTCAGACTAGGATAACATGAGGCAGGCTAAAGCTTCGACTTTTAGTTTCTTAATTGAGGCCATTCCAAATAAATTCCCCCTGGTTGTTGAAGGTACCTGAACTGAATCAAATTAGATCCAACTGCTCTTTTGGAAGTTTGGTGAAATCTATGGACCCTTTTTCAGAACAGTGTTTTTAAAGGCATAAAATAAACTACCTAGGGCTATAAAGGAAATTGATTATATTAATACACAATTATTAAAATAGTAAAAAATGAGGTTTTGATATAGTTCTGTAGTAGGCAGCTTCTAAGATGATTCCCAATAATCCTCACCTTCTGGTATTTCTGTCTTGCGCAATCCCCTCCTCTTGAGTGTGGGCTGAACCTAGTGACTTGGTTTGGGTTTTTTTGTTTGTTTTTAAGTTTTTCTGACGTGGACCATTTGTCTTTATTGAATTTGTTACAATATTGCTTCTGTTTTATGTTTTGGCTTTTTGGCTGCGAGGCAAGTGGGATCTTAGCTGCCCGACCAGGGATCTAACCTGCATCCCCTGCATTGGAAGACGAAGTGTTCACCACTGGACCACCAGGGAAGTCCCTGTGACTTGGTTTTGAAAAAGAGAATCTGGCAAAAGTGATGGGGTGTTACTTCCATGATTAGGTTACAAAAGACTCTGGCTTCCATCTAGTTCATCTTCTCTTGCTCCACTTCTTACTCACTCTGATGAAAGCCTGCTGTCAGGCTGTGCCCTGTCTTATGGAGAGGCCCACGTGTTACAGAACAGAGCAAGGTCTCCAGTCAACCGCCACTGAGGAATTGAGGCACCCAGTCCAACAACCCATGAGGAACTGAATCCTGCCCACAACCACATGAGTGAGCCTGGAAGCAGACTCTGTCCCAGTGGAACCTCGAGATGACTGCAGCCCCAGCTGACACCTTGACTGAGCCTGGTGAAGGACCCTGAGCCAACAGACCCAGCTAAGCCTTGCCAGATTCCTGGCCCCCAGACACTGTGAAATAATATGTATTTGTTTTTTAAGCCACGAATTTGGGGTGACAGTTAATTTATTATACAGCCATAGATAACTAATAGTTATATACTTGCTTCTTTATTAATGCATTAAATTACAAGATCAATACCTACAGTAATTTTGCAGTAATGATGCACATAAACAATATTTTGAGATATCTGCACCAACTTTAATGTGGTAGAAAATATGTATGAGTTCTATCAGGGGCAAAGTCACTGGTTGCTAATATTACTGTGGTTTGCTGACTACCTTCATAATGAAAGAAATGCTAATTTTCAACTAGGTAGGGCTTAGTGAAAAATACATTTATGCATATATATTATTACAGACCCAGATTAAGAACACTTAGTCTAGATAATAGATTTTTTGCTAGGGCTTTCCAAAACTCTTATTATCAACTGTCTTATTATCAATTGGAATTAAATAAACCCAGGTAACCATGGCCATTGCAAACTGTATTAACCTACAGTTGAATATGAATTTTTATCCCCTTTCCCTTGTTCCCTCTTCTCCAAATCTATGCTAAGTGTAGGTAGACAAGCTAAAATTGTAGGCCAGAGAGAGAGAAAAATCATGATGAAAATCTCTTCAGCACCCAGAATTCATCTGATTTTTGTTTTCAGTGTGTGCAATTTAGTATTACTTTTACTCCTCTAGGCCTACCACATAGTAAATAACCAAAGAATGCCAAATGATGGTAATAAACGATAACAGAAGGAAACTATCAATAAAACTCTTCCATATAGAAAACACAGAAACATAGAAAAGTTGCTTTCGTATATATGCAGCTTTGCAACTGTGGGATATGGTCAAAGCAGCTTTTAGAGAACAACTTACTGCTTTAAATGCATTTAACAGAAAACACAAAAATGTAAAAACAAATGAACCAAGCTCTCAATTCAGGAAACCTGAAAAAGGAAACAAAATAAATCCAAAGAAAATAGAAGGATATAAAGATTAGAGCAGGATCCCTTCCAGATGTCCTGGCCCTTATGTGTACCAAGCATTATAGATCAAATACATAATCACTCCCATATATAACTCTATTTTTCAAATGGACATAAATTCTGTTATGATTAACAAGTTCAAATACAGTTCTGAAATATAAAGGCAGAAATTAATGTAACAGGGAGTTATAAACAAGTCTGAAATTGACAAATAAGATGATTCTTTGAAAACTGAAAGAAATAGGAAAAACTTTGGCAAGACTAATTGGAGGAGAGCAGTGGCCGGGGGGAAGGGGGTGGGGGGAGACACAACTAGCAAGACTGTTAATAGAGATGTAACTGCAGATATGGAGTTTTTTTAAGCATTACAAAATTATAATTAAAAAGAGAGAGGCTATCAAGACAAGCTGTGTGAGTATGAGCAATGCTAATTCCTGATTAGCTCCATGGATAGACCAAGAAGAGTAGCTAATATTTACTGAGTTCTTTCTGTGTGCCAAGCATTGTGCTCTTTGCTTGTACTGTCTCATTTAATCTTTACAATAAGCCAGTGAGTTAGGTATTATTGTCACCAGTTTATAGGTGATGAAACTGAGGCTCAAAGAGCTGTAGTGACTTACCTAAGATCACCCAATAGCAAGTGGCAAAGCCGGCAACCCAGATTCCTAACAGTAGATAAAAGAAGTACTACTGAGCAAAAGTACAAAACGGAATTTGGAGACAGGGAAACTAGTTTGAAGTACTTACCTGTTTACAATATGCTCGATGAATGTTAGCCTCGAGTACTATTATTATGATAATCCCCATCCTTTAAATGGGATTAAGAATACTACAACTGCAAACATGCAGAGATATGGACAGAAAGTCACATACAAAGATGTTTATCTCAGCATTATTTATCCATAACTGTAAAAAGTTGAAACTAATCTAAATATCTAAAGATAGGGATTGGTGTAATAAATTATGGTGGATCCATACAGTGTAATAGCATATGTGTGTTAAAAATCGTATGTAGATAAATGGTTAATGACATAGAAAGATGTTCAGAATATACTGTTAGGTTTGCGAGTTCTTCTAAAGCACGTTACCAACAGTGTAATAGCTTTGGTATACAAATTATTTGAAAAATAATATATCTATGTATTCATAATATACACATTCCACATCTATATTTAAAGACTAAAAAGAAAAACAGTAAAATAAAAACGTTCAATGTTGTGATTATGGAAAAAAGTTAATGATCTATAATGTTATGCCAATTAATTTTTGAGGAGAGAGAGAATAGGTGCTTTTCAGTTCTCTTGGAAGACTGTCCGATGGAAAACCATTAATTTTTTTATTGTGGACAAATAGAAAGTTGATGGGATACAAAGAAAGTTGAATGGACCTTTCCAGTTTGACATGAAGAGTGCTTGACCCCTGGCTCCTTTTCTCATAGCCAAGACTTTCAAAGGGGCTCTTGCCCAGACAGGCTAAATGCAACTGAGTTTGTTTGTTTGAAAATAAAGGTTCTTCTCTACAAGCTTCAGGGGACTTTCATTGGACCATTTAATCAAACACATGACAATCCATTCAGAACTCTCACCAGACTGCCTTCTGCAGAACACTTTATAAACCTGGAAACAATGACTTCTAATTGATTCATGTTTTAATTTTTAACTGGCTTGACTAAAGTGCAAACTATTTAT